ACTATAGGATTGTCCATAGAGCTATTTTTACACTCGAAAAGTTGGTCAGAATAGGTCAGGCAGATACTAGCACATGCAAAACGTGCGGCCAGGGTATAGAAAATCTTAGTCACATGTTTGTACTTTGTCAAAAGTTCAAACCACTTCATGATTACCTGAAAGACATATTACACAACATTTTTATCAATTACCCGCCTGATATGGTTAATTCTATTGATTATGAACAGTTATTTTTACTTGGGTTTTTGAAACGTTCACAAGTTATTAATACTTATTTTTTAAATTTTTTCCTTAGTGTAGCCCGACTTTGTATATTCAAATCACGGAATTTAAAAGTTTTTCATGACAAAGACATAGATGCACTTCGTTTATTCAAGTACACAATTAAAAAATACATTGAATACGCATACACGTATTATAAAATGACACAACAAAGACAATTATTCTATAAGTATTTTTTACACAATAACACTTTATTGGATATTAAAAATGACAACATAGTTTTGTTTGTCTAGACAGTTACTTCAATTTGATTGGTTGTTAGAACAAAAGATCACATTCCAATGTAAAATTATCGATCGCATTTAGGTGTGTTCGACTTTTGAAAATATTTTAGAGTTGTCTCGCTTTCAATATATAACTTATATTGAATCTGTCCTGTTCAATTCATATACCCTTTTGATGAATGAATCACTATAAAATAAATTGGGACTAATATGCTATACCATTTTTAAAGTTTTTAACGTGTCTCATCTAGATGTATTTTATTTTTTACTAATGTAGGAGGATAACTACTAACAACTCTGTATATAGAAAACTTCTCACCAATGAGGAATGTCTCATGGTGACAGTATGTAAATATGTAATAAAAATTTTATTAATGATAAAAAAAAACTGTAGTGGTATAGAATCTAGTAATCTCTAGGTCGGTGGTTCGAATCCGCCTCGCGGGATATATTTTTGTCACCTTCACGTTATAGCCCAGGATTTGTTCTTTTCTCCAATGTGGGATTATTCTCCATATATAAAATTTTGGAAACTATTACACTGAGTTTTTCTTTCTTGTTGAAATAATAATAAAGTAACTAACACATAAAACCACTGAGAATGATATATTAAATGCGTAACATTACAAAAATAACTTGTCAATAGAATAGCTTTAGGCAAATAGTGTGCACCAGGTCAATTTCCTAGATATACAGGCATGCAAAGAAATAAAAAAGTGGGAACAATCAACTGAATTTAACGCATTCAAGCAAACAGACTGTAACGATACTAGAGAGGTATTATCATCTCAGAAATTGGACCAGTAAAATCAATACGAGTCAGGAGAAAAGAAGAGTTATTTTGCTGATGCCCAGTGATCAGTCTCTGTCAATTTGAAGAAAACTCACACATTTCAAATTATGCCAAGACAGTCAGTCTATCGAATGAACATTTCAATTACACATTTTCTATTTTTGAGTACTATACATTGCCGAACATGCTGCTGGTGAGATAACAAGAATTGAAAACCGTACATATAAATTTACATCGAAATGATACGACTGTACGTAAATTGATATCGAATCAAAACTACACGTGTACACTCAAAGGCATACTCATACTCACCAATACAGCCCGGGTCAAATCATGTTTTAGTCGATACAATTCCCTTGTCAAAGAGATTCTGATCGTAACAAGTGGACAAGCGTTACTGGAAGGTATCAAATTTAATAAATTGAAAGGTAAAAAACTAATTGCTCCGGGTGAGGATCGAACTCACAACCTCCGCATTCCTCATACTGTGCTATGCACAGTGAAGGTACTGTCTATAAGTACGGCGCGCTAACCGATTGTGCCACCGGAGCAATGTTACAAAGTGACTTAAAACTTAAGCTTTTATACAACAGTTGTTTTCTGGCGTAACGTCTGCATTATAAATGAAGCCGATGAATCTTTACGTTCCATTTTCTATGTTATTTTTTACATATACCTTAATGAATGAGACAACATATATTCTGGACACTCCTGTTATGTTCTGTAAAGAATATTCCAAAGAATTATATTTAACATAGGGAAGCCAGACTTTTTCCGTTCATCATAATTGATATTTTGCAATGTCCTAATATAAAGATTGAACAAGGTACATGAAAACATTTCTTCAAAATAGGCCACATCATATGACCAACTTCCGTAGACATTCTTTACAATAAATACATAAATTTACTGGTAATTGTCATCAGCCCGTGATAGCTCAGTTGGTAGAGCGGGAGACTGTAGTGGTATAGAATCTAGTAATCTCTAGGTCGGTGGTTCGAATCCGCCTCGCGGGATATATTTTTGTCACCTTCACGTTATAGCCCAGGATTTGTTCTTTTCTCCAATGTGAGATTATTCTCCATATATAAAATTTTGGAAACTATTACACTGAGTTTTTCTTTCTTGTTGAAATAATAATAAAGTAACTAACACATAAAACCACTGAGAATGATATATTAAATGCGTAACATTACAAAAATAACTTGTCAATAGAATAGCTTTAGGCAAATAGTGTGCACCAGGTCAATTTCCTAGATATACAGGCATGCAAAGAAATAAAAAAGTGGGAACAATCAACTGAATTTAACGCATTCAAGCAAACAGACTGTAACGATACTAGAGAGGTATTATCATCTCAGAAATTGGACCAGTAAAATCAATACGAGTCAGGAGAAAAGAAGAGTTATTTTGCTGATGCCCAGTGATCAGTCTCTGTCAATTTGAAGAAAACTCACACATTTCAAATTATGCCAAGACAGTCAGTCTATCGAATGAACATTTCAATTACACATTTTCTATTTTTGAGTACTATACATTGCCGAACATGCTGCTGGTGAGATAACAAGAATTGAAAACCGTACATATAAATTTACATCGAAATGATACGACTGTACGTAAATTGATATCGAATCAAAACTACACGTGTACACTCAAAGGCATACTCATACTCACCAATACAGCCCGGGTCAAATCATGTTTTAGTCGATACAATTCCCTTGTCAAAGAGATTCTGATCGTAACAAGTGGACAAGCGTTACTGGAAGGTATCAAATTTAATAAATTGAAAGGTAAAAAACTAATTGCTCCGGGTGAGGATCGAACTTACAACCTCCGCATTCCTCATACTGTGCTATGCACAGTGAAGGTACTGTCTATAAGTACGGCGCGCTAACCGATTGTGCCACCGGAGCAATGTTACAAAGTGACTTAAAACTTAAGCTTTTATACAACAGTTGTTTTCTGGCGTAACGTCGGCATTATAAATGAAGCCGATAAATCTTTACGTTCCATTTTCTATGTTATTTTTTACATATACCTTAATGAATGAGACAACATATATTCTGGACACTCCTGTTATGTTCTGTAAAGAATATTCCAAAGAATTATATTTAACATAGGGAAGCCAGACTTTTTCCGTTCATCATAATTGATATTTTGCAATGTCCTAATATAAAGATTGAACATGGTACATGAAAACATTTCTTCAAAATAGGCCACATCATATGACCAACTTCCGTAGACATTCTCTACAATAAATACATAAATTTACTGGTAATTGTCATCAGCCCGTGATAGCTCAGTTGGTAGAGCGGGAGACTGTAGTGGTATAGAATCTAGTAATCTCTAGGTCGGTGGTTCGAATCCGCCTCGCGGGATATATTTTTGTCACCTTCACATGAGGAGCTGAATTGAGCACAGCCCATGATGGAAGTGTAAACAATTCTCCGTGAAAAATTTCGTTGTTTTTTACGGATTATATATGATATATACATAAGCAAAGGTAATTCTGATGAACATTGCATTGTTATTGACATTTCGAAACTGATAAACTGTTTATTTATATGTTGTTTACCCCTACTCTGACGACTTAATCGTTTGGAGGAGGGGGTTGATTTGGGTGCGCTTGACATTTTTTGTTAGGCTGTGCTTGCTTTGAAAATCAAAAATGTCTCAGTCGGAGCTGAATCGTCCAAATTCCGGAAATTCTCGTAGAAACCCAAGGGATAACAGAAATCAATTTTCGCAGAATTATGTTACTGGTAATAAATATTACCAGCGAGAATGTACTGTTAGGGTGGAAAAAATTCCGGTACAAGTAATTGGAGAAAGGGTTGTAATAGAAGATATTGAGACTTTAACCGGAATGAACACTGTATTAGCAGTAGTACGATGTGATTTATCGTCATATGATGTAACATTTGACTGTAAAGAAAATGCATTTAAGATGTTACGGGGCGTAGAAATTGCTAATAGAGATTTCGAGTGCAGTATGATGTTTTCGGACATAACTGTAGTTTCAGTAATAAAATTACCGTCTTATATTTGTGACGATGAAATTACAAGTAAAATTGAAAGTAAAGGAGTGAAAGTAGTTTCACCTGTTTATAGACGAACCGTACCTGGGACTCAAGTTGCTGATGGCACAAGATTCATGAGGTGTAAGTTTCCTCCAGGGGTGGTATCCCTGCCGTGGTCAATGCCTTTTAAATTTGGTACCGACACCAAATATTATCGCGTGGTTCATAACAACCAAACAAAAGTCTGCTCAGAGTGTTCATCTCCTGAGCACATGAGAAAAGATTGTCCACATTTTTTGTGTTATGGATGTGGAGATACTGGACATGCCTTGAAAAGTTGTCGAGCAAAAAAATGTAAATTTTGCCATAATTTGCCGTTAAAATGTGTATGCAAGCCTTCAACAAGATGGGAACACGAAAGCCGTAACCGAGAAGAAAATAAAGACAATTGTCCGGACTGTGGACAATATTTCTGCATGTGTAAATGTAGGATATGCGGAAATGCGAACTTGAAATGTACATGTGCTTGCTACACATGTGACACAGTTCCATGTGTATGTAAATGTCACCAATGCCGAAGTGATCCGTGCGTTTGTCCTTGTACTGATTGTTCCAAATATCCGTGCGTATGTCAATGTACAGAATGTGATCAACCGTTAAAAGATTGTATTTTTATGGTAGCTAATGACAATGATTCAGAAGTTATTATACAAAGAAGACCAGATGAAAATCATGCAGATGATGAGGATACTGAAACCGTGGTAAAGTCTATTGTAAGTGAAAATGTACATGACAATGAAAGTATAGCAAGTGAAAACTGTATTGAAGATGAAGCAAAACAGGGCAGTGAAGCTAAAATACAATTGGATGGGTCAGACAAAATTGGAAAAACAGACGTTTCAAATCTAACAATAGTAGAAGTAGAAGTGCACAATGAGCAAAATGGAGCTCCAGATGGTTTAAAGAGGAAGCGACCGATTTCAGAGGATGGTATTGATGACAATGATGATCATAGAACAGATAGCTCAATTGAAACAGATATAATTGAGAGTGAAAGTCTTGTTACCGGAACAGACAGAGAATTGAGTGAAGGTAAAAAAATCAAGAGAGATGATGATACCACTCCTTCTTGCGATACTGTTGTAGGAGGGAGTGATGAAATTAATGATGTTGATATGGAGAATAGTCTCTCATTGAATGAAATAATTAGCACCCTGGTTGGTGATGAAGTAATCACCACTGAAGGTGCAAAAGAAAATGAAGAATTGTCTGTCTGTTCTGGTGATGGGTATGAAAGTTCAGTAGAAATACTGGATATAAATAGTGATGGTGATGTTAAAAATGTGGGTAAATTTATTAGTGCTAAGCAAGCTCGAAAACTTAAAAAAAAAGAGAAAAAGCTTGAAAGGAGATCAAGAATTAAACCTACTCCTAATCTAGATGGTAAAGGTGTTAGATCTGTAGGTCAAAATTGTGAAAGTACTAAGATGTAAACAATGGATAAATATGTAATTTTATTTTATTTCATCTTTACAATGGTGCTTATATGTTCATTTAATTGTAATGGACTTAGATGTGTAAATAATTTTCAGAACTTTGTTAGTGTTATTGATGATAAAAAAATTAGCATTGTACTTTTACAAGAGACATTTTGGGATAATAATTATATAGATAGTATAAAGCATTTATATACAGGTAAGATCACTTGTAATAATGGTTTGAATTGTAGACAAGGTGTTGCTGTACTTGCAAATAATTATTGTAAAGATAAGATACAATTTGTTTATTCTGATGAAAAGGGTAGATTTTTACATGTTACATTTCTTGAGAATGAAAGATTGTACAATATTATATCGTTATATGCACCAAATACGGTAACTGAAAGAACAGAGTTCTTTGAATTTGTAAAACTGTATACGGAGAATATGGACAATTTAATTATTGGAGGCGACTTCAATACTAGTTTGTCTAATTTAGACAAAGGTGGCAAAACAAAACATAGTGTAGATGAACCATGTAGAAAATTATATCAAATAGTTAATGATAATAATGTGTATGATGTGTGGCGTGCTAGAAACACCCACAGTAGAATATTTTCATGGAAACGTATTAGTAATAATGAGTTACAACAGAGTAGGATAGATTATTTTTTAGTTAGTAGACAGTTGTCACCATGTATTCAAAATGTATATTATAACTTAACTAGTTTAAGTGATCATGCTTTTGTTATATTGAATTTAAACTGTAATAATATAGAAAGAGGTCCTGGTTTGTGGATCCTTAACAATACACTTTTACAAAATGAACAGTATGTTAGAAGAGTTAAGGAAATTATAACTGTAGAAAAAGAAAATGAGTTATATGATAGAGATATTTTGATATGGTGGGATAATCTTAAGTATAAAATTAAAAGATATTCCCAAATTTTTTCTTCTTCTATAGCTAAAGAAAATAGAAGAGATTATTTCAGGTTAGAAAAGCAAATTAATACTTTATGTGAAAAAGCTGCCAATGGCAATGATATTGATATAGCTAAATTGGAAAGTTTGAGATTAGAATTGTCTCAATATGAATTAGAAAAATGTAGAGGCGCTGTTCTCAGATCTAAAGCTGTTTGGGCTGTTGAATCAGACAAAAATACAAAATATCTTTTAAATTTAGAAAAATATAAACAGGAGAATAACTCTGTAAAGGAATTGTTGAATGTGAATAATGAATGTGTTAATGACATTAATGGTATTTTAGATTTGCAATATGATTTTTATAAAGAATTGTATACTTGTGTAGATACTGATGATATAAACATGAATGAGTTATTAGATTGTGTAGATGTAAAAATAGATAAAAATGATCATCAGTTATGTGAGTCAGATATTTCGTTTGATGAAATAATAAAAGCATTATCTCAAATGTCTAAAAATAAAAGTCCAGGATCAGACGGACTTACTGTTGAGTTTTATTGTTATTTTTATTCTGAGCTTAAGTATGTACTTATGAAACTTTATAATACTATTGAACAAGAGGGATTTTTAAGTAGATCAATGAAATGTGGTGTTATTAGTCTTGTATTTAAGAAAAAAGGTGACAGAAGATCACTTAAAAATTATAGACCGATATCTCTGTTACAGGTTGATTATAAAATCTTGGCCAGAATAATGGCAAATAGATTTAAAACTGTATTACCAAAAATTATTTCTGTAGACCAAACTTGTTGTATAATTGGTCGAGATATATCTAATAATGTAGCAAATGTCAGAGATATCATAGAAATTATTGAAAGAGATGAACTTGAAGGTTATATTATCAAAATTGATCAAGAAAAAGCATTTGATAGAGTTAGTCACTCATATTTATTGAAGGTTTTAAAAAGATATGGTTTTGGAGATAACTTTATTAAATGGATAGAAATATTTTATAATGGTATTAATAGTGCAGTAAAATGCAATGGTTTCTTAACAAATTATTTTTGTATTAAGAATGGTATTAGACAAGGCTGTCCTATAAGTGCATTATTGTATGTTTTAGCTGCTGAGCCCTTACATAGTAAGATTGTTAAAAATGATTTGATAAAAGGTATTGTTGTTCCAAATAGTGAAAAAGAAGGGTTAATTTTTCAGCATGCAGACGATACAACTTTATCTGTTTGTAATAAACAATCTATATCAGAAGTTTTTAAAGTTTTTGATTTATATAGTAGAGCAACTGGTGCTAAAATAAATAGACAAAAATCTGAAATTTTATGTGTTGGAAAGGGAGAATTGTCACCTGTAGAAAAACAGGAGTATGGTTTACAAGTATGTGATAATAATGTACAATTACTTGGTATTTATGTTGGAAAAGACAGAAATATATGTGATGATTTAAATTGGAAAGAAAAGATATCAAAATTGAAATCTCTTTTAAATATATGGTTACAAAGGCAATTAACGCTGCAAGGTAGAGTTATTGTTGTAAATACGTTGATGATGTCTAGATTTTGGTACACTCTTTTTGTATCCTCTATCCCCGAATGGGCTTATAATGAGATAAAGATTTTATGTGTTAATTTTGTATGGAATAAGAGATCTCATTTGGTGAATTATAATGTTATAATAAATCCTAAATGTAATGGAGGTTTGCAATTAGTTGACATGAAATGTAAAGTACATGCATTTAGATTAAAGTTTTTAGGAAGATTAATAAATGATGAATATGATGTATTGTGGAAGTATACTTTTAAATATTTTGTATCAAAGATTTATAATATGAATCTAGGGTTAGAAGTATTGTTTATTCAAGTACCACATTGTGAGTTAAAATGTTTACCGATTGTGTATATTGAAATGTTAGAAGCTTGGTATGTTTTGAGACGGAAGTCTGAATTGAAATTAAGTGTAGAAAATATATATGACCAACCATTGTTTAAGAATCCGGAGATTGTATTGAAGGATAAACCAATACTTTGGTATGATTTTATAAATGCTGGTATAGTTAGTCTTAAGGACATATGTTATGAGGTTAAAACAGGATTTTTACCTGATTGTGCTATTGTTGAAATAATACAAAATGTATTTGAAAATTCAAATGTAAAGAATGTTATTGATCGTTATCATTGTTTAATTTGTGCAATTCCTGATGACTGGAAGCAGACCGTGCATAGTGAATTGCATCATAGGAATGCAAAAAGAACAATAGACATTTCTGTTATTATTAATCATGTACCATTTGAGTTACCATTGTGTACTGTTAAAAAGCTGTATAATTGTTTATTAGATGATATTTGTAAAGATCCCTGTGGTATTGAAATGTGGAAAACACTGTTCAATATTGATGATAATGACTTTAGTAAAATCTGGTGTAATGTAAATTTATTCTGGAAACCTGCAAAGTTTATTGAGCTAGATTACAAAATACTTCATAATTGTATATTTACCAAAAGTAAATTCAAAAGAATTGGATGGTCTGATGATGATTTATGTGATGTTTGTGGTAATGAAATTGAAGATCTAGTACATATGTTTATAAACTGTGATGAACTTTTAGAATTTCATAACTATTTGCCTGAATTGTTTGTGAAATTATTTGGAAATTGTGATTCTGACAGAATAAGTAGTGTACAGAGTGAACATTTGCTACTATTTGGGTTAAATTGGAAAATGAAAGGTGTTAATGACAGTTTTGTTAACTTTCTGCTTTCAACTGCAAGATATTGTATATTTAGAAGAAGGAATATTATTATGAATGGAAAAACAAATGTTAATTTAGTTCAATTTTTCAAGTACACACTGAAACATTATGTCATATATTTTTATGTGTATATGTGTCAAAAACATAAAATACATTCTTTATTTGAAAAGAAATTTTTGCTTGATAATCCTCTGGTTAAAGAAGTAGATGATGATATAATATTTAAATTGTAGTAATTTGAATATAAAAACTGATTGTGTCATGTAGACATTTATACAGAAGCTTGAAATTGAATGTTATAGACATTTTGAATTGATATTGACACTTGTGATATTGTTTTATGTATTTTAATGTGTATCATATGATGTCTTATTTTAATAAAGATAAAAAAAAAAAGAGCGGGAGACTGTAGTGGTATAGAATCTAGTAATCTCTAGGTCGGTGGTTCGAATCCGCCTCGCGGGATATATTTTTGTCACCTTCACGTTATAGCCCAGGATTTGTTCTTTTCTCCAATGTGAGATTATTCTCCATATATAAAATTTTGGAAACTATTACACTGAGTTTTTCTTTCTTGTTGAAATAATAATAAAGTAACTAACACATAAAACCACTGAGAATGATATATTAAATGCGTAACATTACAAAAATAACTTGTCAATAGAATAGCTTTAGGCAAATAGTGTGCACCAGGTCAATTTCCTAGATATACAGGCATGCAAAGAAATAAAAAAGTGGGAACAATCAACTGAATTTAACGCATTCAAGCAAACAGACTGTAACGATACTAGAGAGGTATTATCATCTCAGAAATTGGACCAGTAAAATCAATACGAGTCAGGAGAAAAGAAGAGTTATTTTGCTGATGCCCAGTGATCAGTCTCTGTCAATTTGAAGAAAACTCACACATTTCAAATTATGCCAAGACAGTCAGTCTATCGAATGAACATTTCAATTACACATTTTCTATTTTTGAGTACTATACATTGCCGAACATGCTGCTGGTAAGATAACAAGAATTGAAAACCGTACATATAAATTTACATCGAAATGATACGACTGTACGTAAATTGATATCGAATCAAAACTACACGTGTACACTCAAAGGCATACTCATACTCACCAATACAGCCCGGGTCAAATCATGTTTTAGTCGATACAATTCCCTTGTCAAAGAGATTCTGATCGTAACAAGTGGACAAGCGTTACTGGAAGGTATCAAATTTAATAAATTGAAAGGTAAAAAACTAATTGCTCCGGGTGAGGATCGAACTCACAACCTCCGCATTCCTCATACTGTGCTATGCACAGTGAAGGTACTGTCTAT